AGTGCCTGGCTAACAATACAGAAGTTACAATGACATGGCACACGTGCACTCATGTTACCGTATCAAATAACTTGTCTTGTCTTTGTAAAATACAGTCACATTTCAATTATTATACATTATATATGTAAATAGATTATTGCTATTTAGAAACAAGTTCTTAAACTTAATTTTCTTAAAACATAGAACAGTAAATAAAGAAGTAAAGCAAACAATTATCTCTTCTAGTTACGACCTTTGTACTCGGATGCTGCTTGACATAGAGAATATGAAACAAAATAATTTTTTTTTTAGGTTTTATATATACAGTTGAATAACCAAAAAACATAAATTACTACATCAATATCATAGAATTCCACTATATTTTATCAAACTCAGTAACTGAGCTGTATTAGTCTAAAAATATATGAAATTTCAAGCAGACCAAAGACACAACCATTGAAATCTTGGTTCAAAAGAAAGAAATGGCATCCTAAGAATTTAAAATGGCCAATAAAAGCCACTAGGGTGACATTCTGAGCTTTCGATTGGTTATTCATGTCATACACAGAAGTAAGTGTATATATGGGAGCATTTCCAAAAATGGAAAGAGGTGGGCAGGGTGCGACTGTGTTTGATTTATTACATGAGCAATTAGCAATATATTTGCATATAGAAAAGATAAGACATTCTTATTTTATATTCTAGCTTGTCAACACCAGTAACTTGAGTTTCTAATTCGTATGAAACTATAGACTTAGTATTTTGACTTCACAAACATCTAATTTCAACCAGTTCTGCATTCAACATACCATGTGACACATAAAAATCGATGTTTATCTGTGTTTTTTAATATTTACTTTTAAATTAAATGATTAACTAATGGATCATACTAAAATTTGAATTATAATCTACAGTTTGATACCAAACTTATTGACATAAATTCATGAAATAGTAGTTCAATAAAATTTTTAATGTTAGTCAACAAACGAGATGACTGGCCTTTCACCCATGACCCATCTCAAAAGGGTTAAGAGACCTCAATTTGGCTCCCTTTTTATGCCAGTCTGTATTTGGGGATCTTCCTGACACATTGGAGTCTAGGGTGGAGGCCACGTGTCAACATTCCTCATTCCCCCTTGGTTTCCCATCTTTCCCAGCCCTCTCCAGTTTAAATTGCCATGCCTCACCTTTTGCATCCTCCCCTTTACCAATGCTATTTTCCACAAGCCACCAAATTGCTCATTACCATGTTTTAGATGCCAATTGTGCAGGTAACTATCCTGTAGGTTCTGGCACTGTCAGGGTACAGTTGGCCAGGGTTGCACACCTGTGGTGTATGAGTTCTTCATGTTCTATCAGAAGAACTCTCCCTTCATTTTGCTATCCTCTCTTTATCTACACATACTATTTCCTTCATTCCTGGAATCACATTTCATGCAGTGTCTCTTGAAAACAAGTTGAGATCTTTTACACAAGAGCACTATCAAACAAGTACATTGCCTTTCTCCAGGATTTTATTCTTAGCTTTTGTGGTTCACAAAAAAACTGAGGATTGGCATCATGTCATTGATCTATCCAACCTCAACGCTTCATCAACCTCTTTTGGTTCATCATGTAGTCTTTCCTCACACTTCAGTGGGCATTCACTATGGATAATGATATCCCTATCTCTCCAACCTCCAGATGTTACCTACATTTTGTCATGGAGGTTGAGTTTTCCAGTTCCATGCTCTACTTTTGTTCTGGCATTAGGGCCTTACATCTTCTGTTGTATGGTCAGAGCCTTTGCCCATCACCTTTACATCCATGGTTTGTGGTTCCATCATTATATGGATGACTGGCTCCTTTTAGACCTGTCCCATCAAGCCTGTCTGACTCGTACATATTTCCTCCTATAGGGGTGTCATGCACACATGTGGTCTTCAGTGGGTGTTGCATGACCAATAGAATCTTGTTTGGGATCCCACTGGTTCCACCATCTTCCCCCCTCCTTCCCATAAGTAGACTTTGCCTAGTGCCTAAACAGAGACAACACCTAGACTGGTGTTTCTCTGCCCCCTCCGATTCTCAATTTGCATCTATTCAAAGATGCTTCTCTTATGGGATGGGGGGCTAATCTGGATTTTTAGGGGATCACAGATCATTGCAAAATGGTTGAATCTTCCCTCCACATCAACCTTTGGGCCTTAGATTATTTTCTACCTTCTGTGAGGGGCCATTTGGTCATGACTCATTCTGACAATTTGACTGTTGTCTCTCATATCAATTGGCAAAGGGGTAACCATTCACATTCACTTTGCTTTTGAATGCTGGATCCCCTTTTCTGGGCCCATTCTCAGGAAGTCAGCCTTCTTGCTTGCCACATCATGGGTGCTGTGAAGCTTGTATCATCAATGATCTTGTCTCGACAAAATTCTACCTATGGAGTGGTCTCTTGCTCCCCTAGTGTTCTGGTAATTATGCTCCCAGTTTGGTATTCCTATTCTGGATGCATTTGCCAACAATTTCAATGCCAAACTGTCCCTCTTATAGTCTCTGGTTCCACATCCTTTAGCTTTGGTGGTGGATGCCTTCAGTCAGGATTGTACCAACCTTTACTTTTATGCCTATTCTCCTATCCATCTTATAGTGATTTTCAAATGAGACCCAAAACTTGAGCACTTTTGAATAGTTCAGAATTCTTCTTCAGGAGAACAAAGGGCTATGTTTAATGAGTATGATGAAATATGTAGCCACAGACGTCGACATTACGTAAACCAGATGTTCATTACGAGTTAGACTTGAGAACTAGCCAATCATAGTCTAGAATTGTTGGTGTCAGGCTTAGTTTGTG